ACAAAAAATGTGTCTGGTTATATTTGAAAGAAAATATATTTATGAAGAAATTAGAGCAAAACATTTAAAATAGTATTTACAATTAAATAGTTAACTATGTTAAGTCTTCTAAATTATATGGATAAAGTAATTATTTAGATCAAAAATTATAAACATGTAATTTAAAAAGTATAGTATAAATGAACTTAAATAATCACTTAATTATTAGTTWTTACACTGATAAAATAAATATCTAAATTTGTAGTAAAATTCTGTTACTGAATGTTCTTATCTTAAAATTTAATTTTTTTTTTAACGAATGTTAATTGCAGCATACTAGGATATTCTTTCATTATTATTATTTTAATTTAATAATTACACAATCTTCAAAGGAATAGTTTTTACATTAAACACAAGTCATTTTGTTAATTAAAAAAAATTAGTATATATATATAGTAAAAAACAAATTAAAATTACAACATTTCAGACAAGGGCTCGTGAAGTGGCATTTCATTGATAGAACTTCAAAAAGATATTCTTAATTTTATGTTTCAAAGTTCAAACCCATTAAGAGATCACATATGGAATAAATAGTTCACTATTTTTGCCATAACATACTATTAGGAAATCATATAAACCGAGCTATAGTTTTTCCTATGTTGACCTTGTAGTACAACACAGAAGCCCACTATATAACTTACAAACAACGTAAAAAACAATTAAAAACTTAGTTGAATGATAATTTAGTTTTTGAGAATAATTAAAATCATTTGTACAATTATTTTTTTTTTAAATACATATTTGGTAAATTATAATAAAATTATCACTCACTTCATTCTTATATTCTATCATACTAAAAAATCATTGAGCGTTGAACAAATGTATTAAAAATTAATCATAAAAGAAATATACATGAGATATTAAACTACCTTTGAAATTGTTATGATTTTCAGGGAGAACTTTGTTCAAAAAGAACATCATTTGACTGATTACTATAACTATAATCCAACTGTCCTCCTCCCTCATCCACCATATTCTGTATTATATTTGATGAATAGGAATGCTGCATAACTTGTTYATTCTTTAAAAATAAAATATATAAGTGAAATAATTAATATTTATTAGATAAAACTTTAAGTGACTTTACTCGTTCATGTAATAATAAGACATCAGAAGATATTAATGGACGAGTTTCAAACGGTTCTCCACTAGTATTTGAACAAATTATTTGATTTGCAGAAGTCTCTGGTTGAGTTGTTTGCTCGGTAGTTTGAGTGGATGTTTGTAAAGAATCCTAGACATTGTTATATGATCTTAATACAACTTACAATTAAAATAAACAATAATCTATATTACATACATCCAAAAATGTTGGCAAAATTCCACATCGAGCCATTAATAATTGTTTAGTTATTTTCTTCAGTTCTTCCTGTTGTTTGACAATTGTTTTTTGTAATTGCTCTTGTTTACGCTGTAGTTGATCTTGAATAAGATTTTCCTGTGACTAAATTTTTTTATGTGTTAATGAGTATAAAATATAAATATAAATTTTAAATCAAAAGTTTTGGTTTTAATTTTCCCAATATTTATTGGTATTTTGCTATTGAGTTAGTCATGTAAATTAGAATAATATAGAATCAAAAATCAAGAAATGTTTATTATAATACTGATGAATCTGAATATCTCTCAAAAAAGTCTCGTATAAATACATATATACATGTTTAACGCCACATTATGCCATTAAACCAGCCAATAACCTCGGGTAGGACTCAGATGGCCCAGTGAAATACCTAAGAGAAATCATTGAAGTAATTCTAAAAATAAACATAAAGAGCAACTTGAAATTGGGAAATCATCAGAGCATAATAAAATTAGTAGTTCTTGTTTTATAGTTTTGATAATAATTTATATAGTGTGACATTATTTGAGTATATAAAATTACACCAGTTTGACAGTTAGTTATACATGTATAATATTACAATTCTAGTTAGTAAAATTATGCACTTCTATATCAATAACAGGATATAACCACAAGGGTGTGGGATGTTGCTGTTAACTAGAAACTCGTACATACAACTTGTGAACTAATTTTGCCACTTCCCTTTTAACCAATGCACAAGGATCCTCGTTCTGTATCGCTACAATAACTTATAAATTACAATACTCTTAAATCTAGACCTTTATTGATTATACTGCTATTTTAGACACGAGTCAACCACTCCAAAAAWTTTAACTTGTCTTAATGTTTCACCTCATGGAAAACATTAAATCAGCAAAGCCAAACCAACTCCTGCACCTTCGCTCTTCAAACAAGAAACTGGTTTACTACTCTGGTTTCTATTTAATAGAAGACTAACATAGGACCCCAGTTTCAAAATCAAATGTAAGCAACCGTTTTTTACATAATTTTATTCCCCTCCTAAAATCTAATTTAAAATACACAAAACTGCATAGTACAAAATTCCAAGTCAACACCTAAATAATACATGACGATTATAACATCCATAACAAGGAGATCTACTCAACACTTCACAAATTATACATAAATATGTAAATATAATTCACAATAACTTATGATTATCCAGCTAACTTGACTCTTTTTTTATGCCTTATCTGTATATTCGTGTATATTATACCAAATACTTAAGTTTGACAGTTATACTTACAGGAGAAACTGAGCCTGCAGGTAATTTTACTGAACATTGTGCATTWTCTAAATAATCGTTGAATGTTTCAGAAACATCATGTTTACTTTCTACCAATGCCAATGACTCACTTTCAGAATTAGAATTTCGAATATCTTCAATTGACCTAATTTTCTAAACATTTAAAATATATTTATTAACATTTTAATTATATATTTATTTGGTAAACAAGATTCTTAGAATAATTATTGAATATTAAAAACATATTTTAAAGGTTTTTATTATATTAGAAGATAAGGTTGAAGTTTTCAAAAATAAAAGTTTAAAGTTGTTGATACATTATTTAATGTCTCAAGAGAATGTCGGCTTATTAATAATTGTAATGACACTTTGACTTTTTATAATATCTTATTTTGCATGTTATGAGTATACAAAATGTTACAATTTAAAAATGATCATATTATCTAGCTAAAAAATGTACTGAGGCAATTATGAAGTTGGGTATTTAGTCAATGGTTTAAATATATAAATATAATTTCCAAAATCATCCATTAATAATAGACCAGAAATGTATATGATTGGTGATTACTGATTATAAATAATATAAGCCATAAATCCTACATTTTAAGTTAATCAACTTTGCGTTAATAAAATGTACTTAAATATCAAGATTAAATTACTATTATATGATACAATAATTATTAAATCAACAAACCGTTTTTGGTGAGTCTGTACTTGCTTGTTCATAGTGTCTCTTTTGATACGAATCATAATCACTATTTGATGATTGATGTTCAATTTCATTTAAAGGAATGTGCCATGATTTTTTTTTACTATTTTTTCTTCCGTTGTTAGTCTCACCTTCTTTTTTAATAACATTAAAATAATTTATGACTTGATGATGACAAACAATGAATTCAGGTTTTGAGTTCCATTGGTGGTAACTGATATAATATCTTGATTGTAACCATATCCATTGTTGGCCTTTGGTTAAAAACCGATAATAACAAGATGTCCCTTCGCCTTTCAGCATAACTAAAAAAAATAAATAGTTAATAATACAATCTAAAAATATTTTTAATTGTTTACTTACGTGCTTGGTGTGATAAAATTACATCTTCTAAGTCATCAATATGGTAATATTCATAACCAGATGTTCCTAGTACTTCAAACGGCATATAGCCAATAATTGACGGACCTCTGAAATCAAATACACAAAGTTAAAAATTGAATGAAATTCTATTAAAATAAATTTGTTCACCTATGATCAAGGAATAAAAATTTCCATTCTAAGCTGTGTCTGGAGGTGAATTCACTTTTTATATCTTCCATAACTGGCAGTTCTTTTAATAACTGTGGAGTCATAATTCGGCCAATACCAACAAACACTAGGCTATACATTCAAAATAAAGTTTGTAATATTTTGAACTACATTAATTTCAAAAAATGTATRTCCTACTTTTGGTCATCTTCTTCRCTGCTAAATGGAGACGAAATCCTAAGATTTTCCCCTTGATACATTTCACTACTAGGTTGAAAGTAACCAAAAAATTGCACTAATTCAAATTGATTTTTTTCATTTATACCCTCTTTATCTTTAAATGGGTCATGTCTCTTACAATGACAAGAAAATACAATTTGATCTAAAACAAATAAAAACCGATATTCAACTATCAGTATTTGTGATACTGATATATATTATAAATTATTACCATTATCATAATTCTTTGAAAGTCTGGATTCTACAATTCGATCATGTAACAACGAATGATCTGCTTCGTGAATTATTTTAAATATTGATAAATTTTCCATGGTTTTCTAAAAGATGTCATTAGAGCCACAAATATATTAATTTATTATAAAGTAGCATAAACATTGTGCACAGTGCTTGAATTTAAGGAGGATAGAGTGCCGATTATTATTTTTTGAATATTTTAGCATACTCTTCATTATATCCTAATCAATAAGAAATTGTTATCCTCATGTACGCACAGTTTTAAAAATATTTTTGTATCTCACTTCTATTTATTTTCAATTCAAGCACTGATTATACAGTCATAAATATTGAAAATAATTAAAAATAGTACCGGAAGATAACCAAGAAGAGCAGTGACAGTTTCTGATGCGTGGAGGATCTTTCCTAATGATGTAAATACTATAATGAATCCATCTAAAGCCTAAATAATAATAAAAACACAAAAAATTAGTTTAGAGGAAAAAATTCAAAACCACAAAATTTACTTCTAAAATTATATGTGTGAATTCTTCATTTAATAGAAATGCTGGCTTCCAATCATTATCTATCTCATGTACTTTTGATCTTAATAATAAATCTAAAAATGATTAAGGTATGTAAATTTAATATTTTATAATAGAATAAATAAACATAACAAACCTTTCTGTTTATTTAAATAATTTATGGTTGTTCTCAAAACAGTGGACTTATCCATTTTTCTGTTGGTTGTAGACAACATACGATTTAATTCATTGATTAAGTTGTTAAATTGATCCCTGCGTTTCTTCTCACTTAAGTTTCTTGATTTCCTAATGATTATTGTTTTCATAACAAGAGGTCAACGAATATTGAACATACATTGGTCACGAAACATTGGTAATACCTACCTTTTAGTATCGTCTCTATCAGTCAGTTCATCATCATACTTGTCACTGTTGAAACAAGAAAAAAATATCCAAGTCACAATCAACAACAAACTACACCTGCCCATACATATAAAGCACAAATTTTACACACAATGGTCAGACAATCGATGCAATCAATCGATTAACCTTCATAACATTTACGTTACACGCAAAAAACATTATGTGTGTTTGGCATATTAACTACACGGTTAGGTTACCCATTCATTTCAGTTATGTTGTATTACTCATAAGCACAAAGATCGACTTACTCGGATTTCCTAGTGGAGGCACTACTCAAGTAGTTTGACATAGTGACGTGCAGTTCGGTACGTATATAAAGGGCTTGTTGCTTCTTACCTCCAGGCGCCACGGTACACAACGTTTACATTTTTACATGCAGCACGGTGTATAATCGGGCCCATTGGCAAGTGCACAAAATAACCAATATTGGGCAAAGTAAACGAGACTAATATTCGGAAAACGACACTATTATGTATGGTTGATGCTCGATGCTGGCGCCTGTCGGCCTGGAGCATAACGAGAGAGCGTTGCAGTTAATGGTTAATCAAAYTATCAAACTATTGATATAAAATGATGATATGAAAAAAGTTTTGATTTTTAATGCACCATGAACGGCAGTCGAACCATTTCCTATAATATTAAAATATTTAAACCTTTATACCCGACTTCTTAAGGTAATGGTAATCACCTAATCGATAGCAATAGATAAATAATACAAGCAACCTTAGACGGCTTACTGCTTAGATATAAAGCATAGGTAATAATAGAACCATTAAATATATCACTATGTAGCCATGTGTACTATGCACACACAAAAATATTACCGTACTTCCGTAACTATTATAGTCAGTAGTCACTACTGTTATCGGTATAGGCATTGGGTGAAGATTTGATTGGTTTTATTTTTTTTTTTGGAGAGGGAGTAGCTAAAATTAGTTATTCTTTTCTATAGCTAAAATCTTTCAWCACAAAATTAGTTGATTGATAACTTATACTAACAATTAATTAGTAATAATACTTATATGTAGCTACCCCTCGTTTGCTACCATTGGTGGGAATGTAGGAAAAAAAAGCCAGGGGAAAAAATCCACGGAAAAAAAGCCAAGTAAAAAAATTATTACTAAATAGTAAATACATATTTAAATTATAGTTACTTTTAGTCAATATCTAATTAATATTTATTTTTTGGTCTTAGGAAAATGTATCTTGTAAAATAATTCACTTTACATAAACATGAAATTTTTTCAATTAATATATTTATTAATATTCCACCTACTTAATAAGTTGGCAAGTGAAATGTGTATGCCATATTATGTTATATATATATATATTTATTTATATCGTATACAAATTATAATATTTACAATTTAATTTATATATGCACACACCTATCATTGGTAAAGCAAGATTGAGCATATATACCTTAGGGCTTACAGTAAAAAAAATRTGATGACAATTTATTATTTATTATTTTCAATTTTCATATATCATTACATCAATTATTATTAATTATTATGATACGTACCTGATACGTACCTAACTTAGACGATGCGTGAGCCGGGTCCAGGTTGGTATTCG